TCTCAGCCGCGGCCCCGCCGCAGTCCTCATCCTCCTCCTCCTCCTCTCTCTGCTAATAGTCATTGTCGTGCTTTCCCCCAAATCATTGTTTTCGTTCGGTTCATGGGGCTCCGATCGGAAGTGGCGGGCGTACACGCTCCCCGACGCGGCTGCTTACGTGGCGAGGAACAACACGCTGATCGTGTGTGCTGTGAGCGAGGCTTACCTGCCGTTTCTGAACAACTGGCTGATCAGCATTGCGCGGCAAAGGCAGCAGGATAGGGTTTTGGTGATTGCTGAGGATTACCCCACGCTTGAGAAGGTGAACGAGCGGTGGCCGGGGCACGCGGTCTTGGTGCCTCCTGCTCTGGAAGCGGCCTCAGCTCATAAATTTGGGTCTCAGGTAATTTTGTAGAATTTGTTTCTTTTTTTTTTTTTTGGGTGATTTGATGTTTTAGTTATTTTTGTTCTCTCTATTCTTAATGATCGAAACGAATATTGGGGTAGTAGGGCATTGTGTATTCATTTCAAAAGTTCAGTTATATTGTGGTATTCGACTTAGTAATGTGTTCCATTGAGATAGATATAATGGGTTGCTGTTAGTTGTCTCTTTTAGTTTGAGACTCGACGGGCATTGCACTTTGTTTTTGGCTTATATTTAGCTTGATCAGTTGTTTAAGTTGATTAAAGGTGGTTCGTTTTGATGATTGGTCGAGAAAGATACGCATGTTGGTTAGCGTTTTTGTTTATGTTGAAATAGTTGATAGAATAATAGGTTTGTAAGAGTAAGTTCATAATTCTTGATGACTCGAGTTTGTGCAAGCTATGAGTGCCTATGACTACTAAACTAGTTTGTGCAAGCTATGAGGGCCTATGACTACTAATCTTCCCTTCATCATATGGTTCTTGCTATTGAGTTGCATCGGGTAGTATGCAGGGCTTCTTCAATTTTACGGCCAGAAGGCCTCGTCATCTCCTGCAAATTCTGGAGCTTGGTTATAATGTTATGTACAATGATGTCGATATGGTCTGGCTGGCAGATCCCTTTCCTTATCTGGAAGGCGAGCATGATGTGTACTTCACTGACGACATGGCTTATGTGAGTATATACAAGTGGTTTATTTATGCAGATTCAACAGCATTCTTTGGAGATACTTTTTTCATCGTAACTTGAATGTTTTCCTTTTTCGATCTTATCATTTCATTTGTTTGTGGCTGCGCTTGACAGTTCAGTCTGAAGCTTTTTCGTATGCAGAATAAAAACATGCATACAACAGGCCTATTAAGTAATTAATTACCAATTTTGTCCAAGTGACCATTTTCCAAAACATATTTGCTAAAAGGGTTAAATGCTCGAGGCAAACTTACAAGAGTAAAATGGCGCTGTGTAGTGGCGACCTCATTTACGTAATTGTATTTAAATCAACATAATGAAAATAAATATGGAGCAAAGCTACTGCTATGAAATGCTACAAAAAAAGAAGAAAAAAAAAACATAGTGTTAGAAGACTGATTATATTCTTTCTGATCTGTTATGTCTTCATAACTCCTATTTGAACAATATAGTACTTTGTGAATACAGGCAGATCTATTTGAAACCTATGTGTTTCTTCATTCCATGTGCACCTCCTTAACAAACTATTTCTTCCTTTTTTTTAAGAAATTTTGGTTTTTTTTTTTTTTTTCTTTCTTGCCGACATTGGAGCTTTCAGGTGAAACCTCTCGACCATTCTCACGATCTGCCGCCTCCAGGGAAAAAGGGACGTACTTACATTTGTAGCTGCATGATTTACCTGCGCCCCACCTCCGGAGCAAAATTACTTTTGAACAAGTGGATTGAAGAACTGCAGGCCGAACCGTGGTCTAGAGCAAAGAAAGCCAATGATCAGCCTGCATTTAATTGGGCATTGAATAAAACTGCCGGGCAGGTACATATTATAGTCTTTTACCATATTGAGTTGCAGCACCAATTATTCCAGATAACATTTGTTAACTATTACAGCTACAACCTAATATTGAATTTAAGTTAATTTATAGTGTATCTCACATGATTTTACGGAAGTCACACCTCGGAAGAGTAGATACGAAAAGGTCAAGTGGGTATTTGCAATGTTGAATCAAATTGTTATTCTTTGAAAGGGTGCTTTAATCACTCAATGGTATTTTCTATAGTTGAACCATTGTAGTGGTGCTCTTTACTTATTTGTCATGTGTGAGACCTTATTTCAGGTGGACGTGTACCTTCTACCTCAAAAGGCATTCCCCACCGGTGGATTATACTTCAAGAACAAGACATGGGTAAAAGAAACAAAGGGAATGCACGTTATTATCCACAATAACTACATCATTGGTTTTGAAAAGAAGACTAAGAGATTTCGGGAGTATGGTCTCTGGTTGGCGGATGATTACGCCTCTGAGTCCCCCCTCGGCAGATTGTAGCCGCTTGGATGACCCTTTACGCAACAAAAAGGAAAGAAAAAAAAATTTGGTGCGTGTACGACACATAAATTATGAGGTAAAATACGCATGACACATGAAACCAAAGTTTGTTCATTTTGCTTGTGTTGTATAATACGAGTTCTTCTTGAACAACTCGTCACATGAG